TCTATTTTTTTTTTTTTTTTTAAAATGTAGTTATTGGCTCATTGATTGGATGTTTAGTGTCAGTATTGTTCATTTCCCTTCCTTTACGTGTTTACTTCGAAACTCTGTCTCTTTGGGGCTGTTTTGTAAAAGTATTTGCTAAGGTTTATTTGCATTCCTGTTTCAGGTCTTTCAAAGTCATGGCCACCAAATATTCGAGGGAATCACTTGTAATGTATCAAGCAGTCCAGATAACCATATCAGAAATGATGAGGAAGTGCTTGGACTGCTCTTTTCGCAGTCTCTGTATGGAGACAGATTATATAATTGAATTGACTGTGGGAAGATGGTTTCCACAATCATGTTTAGCAGAATCAACATATGATTCTTTATATATACCTGGGTTATCCAGGACTGTAGGTCGACTCTTTTACTTGATGTCCATTTGAATAGTGTCTCTTTTATTTTGTTTTTTTGGTGTTCCGATCTCCGTAGGGCTAGGGGATCGTTATCCAGGACTGGAGGTCAACTTCGTTTTGTGGTTCCAGTGTGTTTGTGGTTCCTTCAGAACGAAGTCTCTCACTCATGACCTCCTCTCCTAGCAAAGGAGAATAAAGGTCCAAAGGAAGGAAAGTCGGGCTCACTTTGAGGGTTGGAGAAGGTCTCTGGTGCGAGATTGTGCGCTCAAATTGATGGTATAGAATCCATTTGTACGCAAATCCGCAGCCAAGATGTGCCCGGGGCATGTTACTGCCAAGATGTCCATTTTGTTTCCTAGTCTGGTTTCTGTTAGAAACATGCAATAGATGTATTGATCACTTAATTTTCATTTTTCTGGACTTGCTTTTGTAGTGAAGAGTAATGCCAGACCAGTATGTGTTTTTTCTTGTGCACCAGAAACTCTCTAGGAGCATCAAACCTCCAGTTGCCCCCATGATCAGTGGTAGTTTCAGATTAGTGTAGGTTAAAACATAGTTATATGACAACCTTTGACAAGGATTTCCTTTGACGGGACACCAGGATCTGTTGGAAGAAACATAAAAGGATTTTCTATCAAATTGGACGAACAGGAGATGTTCTTGGAGAACATGTTGCCCAGCTTAAAATGTCTCGTCAAATGACACGACCGTTGTCCGTGCTGATTGCTATATCTTCTTTCAGTACTGCTCTTGTAATTGTTTCTCTTCTTTTTCCATTTTTCCTCGCCCCACACCACCTTATAGGAAGGGGTGTCAAATGGCATCATGTATTGATTCCCCTTAATTTTCTGGTATGTTTACTTTTATATATTTTGACACCCTTAACGTAAATTTTGGCTCTGTCACTGCCCACGCCTTATTTTAGGGTGTGAGGTTGTCGAAGAGCCTCATTTTTGTTCCTACATAAACTATCTGAACTTTTAATTTCCATTAAAGAGAAGGAAGGATGTATCCAAAATTTTGAGTCGTATGCGTATATAAAAGATCTTTTTTTTCAAATTAACATAAGGTTATCGGAGATCATTCACCTATTTTTATTGAACTTAGAATTTCCATTTTTTGTCAAGAGGGTAGAACAGACTTATTAAGCTGTAAAAGTTCTCACATCAAGCATGTCTAATTCCTTTCAAATTATTCTATTTTCAATCAATGTCTAGTAAACTTGAAGAAACTCGCGTTGCCCTTAGTTTCTATCAACTTTCTCTTAAAAAGTATTCGCATCTCAATTGCACGTAGAAGAATAAGACAAGAAAATGCTGTGAAATCTATATACATCTATATAAAGTAGGGACAATGTGTTGGCTCCACTCTAAAGCCTGCAATGCTATTTATCTATTTTGTCATTTTTTTGCCATTTTCCCTTATTTTTCACATTTATCTTTTAATGTTTAGCAGTCGAAAAGTCGCTATTAATTAAAACTAACCATCGGAGAAAATAAAAAAGGTGACTTGGCATCTCTCTTCGGTCAAGGATTCTATTTATCTTTTTTCTTCTTCTTTTGCTTTTCCCCCTTCATTCTTTTCTTTTAAATTGTTTAGTAATTGGAAATTGATCATTCTCTATTCTATTTATTACATCTCATTATATTTATTTGAGTTACAAAAGGATAAATTAACAGCCAAATTTTTCAGTTTAATTGGGTCTCTCTCATTTTCGTACATTGGTGTACCATTACTAAATTAAGCAAATATTGTGTTTTAATTGCTCAGTTTTATGTGCATGGGTGTAACTCTTCTTTTCATTTTCTCAAACAATAAATGAGTGGGAAAGAAAAAGCACTACAAATATATGAAGGCGGCGGTAATGCTAACATTCTTCATCTTCCCACACTATCCTTCACCCCATTTCTAATTAACCTTCGATCAGAAAGCCCAAAAGCCATCATGAAATATGATTCTTTATGCAATGAAGCAACGTAGAAACATAGAAATATAGCAATAAAAGTATGGTCTTCTTCAACAACAAACACAATAAGAATATCGAGTGCCTCCAGAAACGATCTTGCCCGTTTATTTTCTCTCACCAAATTCTTTTCAACTGGTAATTATGCACTAAATGGCATTGCTTCATTCTTTAAATTCTTATTTCTTTTGCAGTATTTTTTAGGAAGAGACTGTGTTTTTAGCTGGTGTTTCTTTACTCAGTTTATTTAGAAATCTTGCAGTTTAAATTTAACCTCTAACAAAATTTTATGTTTGAGCCTCAACCCTCAAGGTATTGGTCTTACTATCTTAGTAGCTTCTTATCGGTTATGTTTATTATGATTATTAATATACTTAATGTCCATTCTATTACAATTATTCAATATATGTTATACTTTCTTTTCCTATTACTTAATGTAAGTTATTACTTGTATTTTGGTTATTATAAATTATAAAGCACATCTTCTTATTTTTGTCACTTTCGTCTCTTCTTCTTTATTGACCATTCTTCTCCTTTTCATTAGAAATTCTTTGTACATAAGTTTTTTTTTTTTTTACTTTTTTCTTCTCATTTTTGGTGTTTTTGCTACAGCTATTTTTAATATACGATATTGGTGCATAACTTTCATTGTTTAGGAAGTAAGGAAGAAAAGGACATATTGTGTAATTTGTGGACAATATTTGAGGAATCTAACTTTAACCTTGATAAGTACACTACTATATATCCTAACTTTGCGTGTGAATTTTTACGTAAAGTACTAGCTTTGCCTGTTTGTCTTGCATTAAAATGCTCTATTTTTTTTATTTTAAGAATGATTGTGATAAATTTTACCTTGAATTTTGATTATTGTTTCATTATTTTAGAAAGAATTGGGGAAGTATGATTACATGCTCAAAACAATTGACAATTTGAGGACAATAAGACTATTTTCCTCATCTGAAAATAATTTAAACGGTTTGTGTCCTAATATCTTTTAATGGCCTTTTGACAGTTGAAAGAGATTATCTTACCAATTTTTTCAAATCTATTATGCTTCTATGTGTGATTTACAAAATATATATCTCTTAAGCGATATTTTTCTTGACTCATTTTTATTAATTTATAAGATATGTGTGTTGTAATGCCATAAGTGATTAATCAAGAGAAATTGATTTTTGAAACTTTTATAAGATTAGTAATAAAAAAGGTAATTAATTTGATTATTCAAGGACGGGCAATAGTTTCTCATTTGCTCGAAGGTTTGAATATGAGAAATAAAAGAAAAGAAGAAAAAGAAAATAACCGTCACAACCCAAAGCTCAACCTGTTGTGATGGCCTATCATGATACTAGGTAATCCGACAACTCATACATACTGACACTCTCAAATTCATAATACACTAAAAATAGGTTTAAATAAGTGAAAATCTCATAAAACTGGATAAAATCGTCACAACTCAATACAGAAGTTCCCAAATCAGGATGTCACTGAATACATGAACATCTATACAAATGCAAAGTCTGATACATTGTCTAATAAAACAGAAACTGAATAATTAAAACTGAGGGATAGGGGAGGAGAGTTAAGGTCTGCAGATGCCAGGCAACTACCTCGATAATCTCCGAACAGTTGAAAACTCAGATATCAACAACCACCGTGACCGGAAATACCTGGATTTGCACACGAAGTGCAGGGTGTAGCGTGAGTACAACCAACTCAATAAGTAACAAATCTAACCTTTGGACTGAAAGTAATGACGAGTCTCATAGGTACATTCAAATTTCAGAGCTACAGTACAGAAAATATAGACATGCTTTCAATCTAACAATTAAACTCAGAACAGATAAAAATATGTCAAGTCTGAATGATACGTGGAATAAGACATCACTATATATACATGCCAATATATATATCTTATGTGATGCAATACAATGTAAGCCTCACGTACTTGCATTCTCGGAGTACTCAACCTGACTGTCTCAATTCTCACTCATCACACGCAATCACTCAGCATTGTACAGGGTAGATCCAACTCAAATGGAAATAAATTCAGGGCAGATCCAGCCCAATGCAAATGAATCAATAGCAACTATGCTCACTATGGGTGTGCAGACTCCAGAGAGGCAGATCCAGCCCAAGCGCTATAATAAGCTAAATCCTGACATGAATCAATAAAGCATGATGCGGTATGTAGCCAAATCCTATAAATATCACTCACAACAGGCCTTCGGCCTCACTCAGTCATCAATCTCTCTAGTCTCTCGGGATCACAATACTCATTCTAAAAAGCCCATATCAATGATACGAGAAGTGACAATATATGATAACAGAGACTGAGATATGACATGAAATGATGAATGTGACTGTATACATAACTGCAATTAAGCAATTAATTCGGAAGCAAAGAACGACCATTGTGGGTCCCAATGGTACCAACATATAGCCTAACACATGATTTCTAGCATAAATCACAATTCAAGTGCTCTAACACATAGAGTATAGTAAAAATATTTAGATAGAATAGCTGCACAGTTCCATGGAATCAAGTAAATCACAATTACTACGGTGCACGCCCACACGCCCGTCACCTAGCATGCTCGTCACCTCAACATGAGTCGCATAACATGTAATTTCGGGGTTTCATACCCTTAGAATCAAGTTTAGAAGTGTTACTTACCTCAGACCGTGTAAAACTCTACTCTAACAAGTCTTTGTCTCATGAATCGGTCTCTGAATGCCTCGAATCCAACCACAAACAATTTGATACGATCAGCTCAAGCTATAGGAATCAATTCCATATGAAAATACTAAGTTCTTAATCAAAAGTCAAAAAGTCAACTCAAAAGTCAATCCCCCGGGCCCACATCTCGGAATCCGATAAAAGTTATAAAATTCGAATACCCATTCAACCATGGGTCCAACCATATAAAAATTACTCAAATTCGATATCAAAATCCCGCTCAAATCCCCAAAATTCAGCCTAAGAAGTTTTCTCCATTTTTTTCCAAATTTTCCATCCCAAATCAATAATTAAATGATTAAATCAAAGATATGTTCATGTAATTTAACCAAAACCAAGTAAGAATCACTTGCCCTAGTCAATCCCTTGAAAATCTCTCTAAGAGCCGCCTCAATCCGAGCTCTGAAAATCAAATTATGTAAAATGACTCAAACTCTCATTTTTGGAAATATATAAGTTCTGCCCAGGTGTCCTTAATCGCGATCGCGGAAAATGCTTCGCGATCACGAAGCATAAATATGCTTCCCCACGAATTAACCTTACACGAACGCGATGCACTGGCTCTCAAACTTACACGATCGCGAATGACTTCACGCGTTCGCGATGAAAAAATGTGTGTGACCCCGCTTCTGCCTCATTTACTCTGTGGGAACGTGACCTTAGCCACGTGTTGGATATTCAATGCTTTGCTCAACTACGCAATCACATCCCTCAACTAGCGAACGCATAGAACAAAAACCTCAGCTGCCCAATTAAGCCTACGCGATTGCAGACTTGTCCACGCGATCACGTATAAGGAAACCAGACTTGAACACTAGCAAACTTCAGTCAACAACAACAACAACAACCCAGTATAATCCCACAAGTGGGGTCTGCGGAGGGTAATATGTACGCAGACCTTACCCCTACCCCGAAGGGTAGAGAGGCTGTTTCCAGGAGACCCTCGGCTCAAAAAGGCAATAGGAGATGATATATTAGTACCATAAAAATGCGTAATAAAAATAACAACAATATATAAGAGATATGNTCCACGCGATCACGTATAAGGAAACCAGACTTGAACACTAGCAAACTTCAGTCAACAACAACAACAACAACCCAGTATAATCCCACAAGTGGGGTCTGCGGAGGGTAATATGTACGCAGACCTTACCCCTACCCCGAAGGGTAGAGAG